GGCAGTTATCAATTCCGCGATACGTACGTGCTCATCTTTACGTCAATTTGCCAGCGAGAACGTGTATGAAGATGTATGAAGATCTTCGGCAACACTCCGCTCCGCATCACATTTTCACCTCTCTTCTCGCTGTTTGAAAATGCGATAAGGCATGGTTTCTACTGGGAGCGACCATTGCTAATTTAACTACTTTAACACCTACAGTCTTGGATAATTTAAATTAAAAATTAAGACAACCCCTCGCCCCCATTTTATTGATAGGAAAAATGGTGCGCTTTGGGTTTAGGGCCTGTTCATCCGTGATTAGGGGGGAGGGGTGGTTTATCTTTTATCCAAGATTGTCAGTTGTTACCTACCGTTTCTTGACTATTTTTATCTTGTAACGAGTACATTTATATATATTATCTTACCCTCTGTTTACTATTTACAACTTTTTCACTCTTTATGTAACTATATTGTTAAACTATACAAAGGCCGGATCCAGCAAAACGCAGACATTTCGACGTCTCTCCTCTATGTTAAGGAAGTAATTGCTAATATTGTAACCAGCCACTCTTATACAGAAGAAGAGTACATTGATTGACAGCACCCTGGAATAATTGTCAGTATAATTATCTTTTTGTAATTCTAACGTTAGACTTCAAAGAAAGCCATCGCAATCCAAGGACAAAATTAATATACTTTGAGTTTTTTTTAAAATTTATTTTATTATGTTTGCACTTTACAATGCTTTTGCTGATAATTTACGCTAAAACAACAACATAAAAGCAACATACACTACTTACAATACAACAGAACTATTAACACGACTTGCAGTACAAGACAGCTTCTTTACCCTAACTACTTTTAACAATTATTTAAAGGAACTTTACATTCGTAACAGCAATACATGTATTTTTTAAATTGCATATCCTTTAATTAATATAACAATTGTTCTAGCAATATATCACCTTTTTCTTTGAAATGACATATCCTTTTATGAATCAAATGCCTTTTAAAAGCATTAGCACGACAGAAAATGCGAAGAAGCATCATAAAAGAATATCAGAAACTTGATTTTCTATTCTTAACTTCTTTTGTAGTAAATTCAATCCAGTCAAGAATCCTCTCGTTTACCTTGTGATAATGTAGATAATAGTTAGCATATAATAAACAGAGATTCAATTTCCCAACATTGTTATTATTCTACCCACGCGCCATACCAAGCAATAATTCGTAGTTTCCCGGGGATATTGAGGTGTTATTTATCTCGTTGAACCAGTTCAACAGCCGATTGTGAAAAGAAGTTGTGGTACTACAGTTTTGAAATGTATGAAGAACTGAGTCAGGCTCACCACAGTAGGAACATCTATTATAGCCTGCTAATCCATAGAGAGTAAGCTCTTTCTTCGTAGCGACAATGCGATGGATAAGCTTAAAGTAAAGTTCTCTCAGTTGATTCTCTTTACAAATAGCCTTCACTCTATTAAAGATTTGGTTCCATGAGAAAGCCGTCGGAGCAAAGTTGCGATCCCATTTCATTGGACCAGTGGCCTGATACTTCCGTTTATCGCGAAAAAGCCAATAA